CCCCCCCCCCCCAATTCTTCACTGCTTGGACCCAAGGTTTTGCCACATTCCCACCTCAGGACCTTTGCACTGGCCGTTTCCTCTACCCAGAATGTTATTACTACTCAGTGTCCAAATGGCTTCTTACTTGACTTCATTTATTTCTCTGCTCAGCCAGTGTGCAGGTCAGAATCATGCCCTGATTTCTTCTTGAAAACCACTTTTCCCAGTCATCTTTGCACCCTGGCTTCCTCTTAGGGCCACCCAATGCAAAGCACTGAAGGGCGGTTGGAGAGTGGGGACGAAGTAAGACGTTAAGGTATTTCTCCTCCTTTTTCTGCTAGGAGGCGGGAGAGTGATCTTCGGACAATAACTGCAACTCCCCATGTTCCCAGCTCCCATTCGGACCCTCACCAGACTTTCGTTGTCCTGTGTCCCTCCAGCACCTTTCTGATCGGGCTTACTGCTGGGTTTTCTTATCATCTCATGCGGCTTCTTGGCTCTTCTATCTCCCTCTTAATCAATTCCCTGTCTTCAATCCCGTGTGTGTGTGTGTGTGTGTGTGTGTGTGTGTGTGTGTGTGTGTTCCACCCTAGACTAACCTCTGAGTGTTACGGTCGTCTTATTTGAAAGACCTTCCTTGACCACCTCATTGGAAATAGCAGTCCCCATCATTCTCCACCTCATCCCCCTACATTATTTTAAAGTGGTATCTCTCACCCCAGGCTTGAACATCACAACCGTGAGGATGGCGCGGGGACTGGGCAGTGTTTCCTTCGGTTGTTCATAGGCTATCTATGAATTGGAGCCAACTCAATGGCAGCTAACAGCTACGTCTCTCGCGATATGACATTATCGTACACTTTAATTATGGATGGTCTGTCTCCCCACCAGACTGTCCGCTCCATGAGGGTACCCACAGCTGTATCCTTAGGGTCTGTTACAGTGCCTTGTGCACAGTAGGTGCTCAAGACATCTTTACGGACTGCGTGAATCTTGATACGAGATTTCTCAAAATTATACCGATGTCCCCGGCTCTCCACCTTGAGCTCCGACCCTGAATTCATCTCCTTCTTCCTCTCCACTTGTGAGTGTCCTAGGAAACTTCAACTCAAGACATTGAAAGGATTATTCCTAATACTATGTTGAGGGTCGTGGTGGCTCAAGGTAGAGTGCAGAATTCACACCTTCCAGTGGGAATTGAAGCACTGGATTATAAAGATCAAGTATTGTAGTCTTTGATAGGGATTACAACGCAATAAATATAAAGAAGATCAATAAAATAAAAATAAAGAAGATCAATAGCCTCACAACCGGACCAATAGATGACATCAAGACAAATGGAGAAAAGCTTGAAGTTGTCAAGGGTTCTATCTTACTTGGATCGACAATCAATGCTCGTGGAAGCAGCCGTCAAGAGATGAACAGATGTAGTGCACTAGCTAAATCTGCTCACAAGACCTCTTCACTGTATTAAGGATGCTTCTTTTAGGACTAAGGATGCTTCTTTTAGGACTAAGGTGCACCTGATCCAATTCAGGATATTCTCCACTGCATCATATGCCACATGAAAGTTGGACATTGAATAAGGAAGACTGTAGAAGAATGGATGCATTTGAATTGTGGAGCTGGAGAAGAAGATGGAAAATACCATGGGCTGTCAAAAGGTCAACCCGGTCTGTATTGGAAGAAGCAAGGCCACAGTGCTCCTGAGAGGCAAGGAGGGCAAGACTTTGTCTTACAGACGTTGGACATATTGTTAGAAGCTACCAGACTCTGGGAAGGGACAACATGTTTGGTAAAGTGGAGGGGTGGCCAAAAAAGAGGTCCAACCTCAACAAGATGGATTAACAAGTGGCTGCATCAAATGGGCTCAGGCATAGGATCAATTGTGAGGATGGCCCAGGACTGTGCAGTGTTTCATTCTGTTGTGCAGAGGGTCACTATGGGTCAGAGCTGACTCGATGGTACCTAATAACAACTACTGTGTGAGACCTGAGTTCCAATCCTAGCCCAATGCCCCTCAAGCTCAGCCAACACCTATCTGTCAAGTGAAGGCTTGCATGCCCCCACGAACAGGTTTCAATGGAGTTTCCAGACTAAGCCAGGCCTGGGAAGAAAGGCCTGGCAATCTGCTCCTGAAATTCAGCCAGTGAAGATCCTCTGAGTCACAATCGGCTAATCCCATGGGGCACGGGGTCACCTGAAATGAGTTAGCTATTGACGGTCATCACCGCCAACCGTATGTCCCATCTACTAGAACAGCCTCAATCAACGACAGACAATCCCAAGTGTGGGCGAGGATGTGAAAAAAAATCAAACCCACCTACACCGTTGGTGAGAATCTAAAATTCTCCCCTTGAGAAACCGTTAAGCAGTTTCTTAAAAAGTTCATCCGGTTACCATCAGATCCAGGCATTCCGTCTACCTTCGAGAAGAACTGAAGGCCTAGGTCCACAAGAGACTGCTCTGTGAATATGAACAGGAGGCTTTTCCATAATCCAGATGCCCATCCGTGGGCGAATGAAGAAATAAACTGTTGCACATGCATACAGTGAAATGCCCTTCAGCAATGAAAAGGAACTGGCTCCCTCCCCGCCCTAGCGCCACCTTGGTAGAAACCCCCAAACTAGGAGAGCCAAGTGGAGGAAGAAGCAGATGTGCAGACTGAAGCTCCAGCGAAGAGGGGTCCAAGCAAAGTCGTGTGTGCACTCACGGAAGCCACAGCAGCAGACGTTTTGAATGGCTGAGGCCAGGCCTCTGGTAAAAGGCTGACTGCAAGTTACTGTCTAGAATGCCTGTGGGCCTAGAATGCTCACTGCCATTCGAGCATCTGAGAGGCCCACTTTGCTCAGACCTAATCAGTCCGAGTTCAGTCCTTTGTCCTGGACATTCGGGACTAGTTCTGTTCTCAATTATGGCTCGCTATAACATGCACAATAAACCACTGTTTACGTTGTCTTAGCTGAAGATGTTTTTTTAAAGGACTGACCTACTCTTTTATGAAGCACCCCTGATACCAGAGGTATCAGAAGGTCAGTGGTTCAACCCCACCTGGCATCTCTGTGGGAGAAAGACCTGACAACCTGCTTCCGTGAAGCTTGTAGCGAGGAAGCCCTGCGAGGCAGTTCTACTGTGACACAGAGTCAGTAAGCGTCAAGAACCGACTAGACGGTGACTAACAACGACGACATCTGAGACGTGCTCTGTGAGTGGCATTCCGGAGTAGTTCGCTAAGTGAAGGACATCAGGACCAAAGGCCACATAGTTTATGACTCATTTATATGAATTGTTCAGAAAAGACAAATCAATACAGACAGAAAGTAGATTATTGATTGCCTGGATCTGGGGGCGGAAGCAGGGAATGACTGATAGTGAGAATGATGG